GACACTAGTATAGATGAACGGCGCAACTCTTGTTTTCAGTGGGAGGCCAGCTATTTAGCCCAGAAGAGATGACGCGTGGCTTTTGTAGTAAATTAATCTGCTTAATTCTAGCCAACCATCTCACAAAACCTTCGACCTAGCCTATCTAGGCTATAAAAACACTCGCCACGTGTCACCCAATAGATTGCTATGTCTCTGGTACATCGCATGCTCCTTGAAATATCCCCAACCCCTGGCTCGGATAGGACCACTCTTGTATCGGATCTCCTCTCAGACTGATAATTATACTAGATCGGATGCCTCGTGGATCCGGTCCCCTCGTAGATCGGATCCGATTGCCGTGATCCACCCTTCCAGGCTTCTTAGTAAGTCCTGCTACCAGAATAGCCCTTGTTGAGCACATTCTTCACACCATTCTTCGATCCGCTTTTCACAATTTCTCTTCGTCGATTCACAAGAGGGGGTGTGTCGCAGTGACCGATCGCACGCATTTTCACGCTGTCGACCAACACGAACGAGTAAGCGGTCTCCTCGTAGCAGGCGGCGGCGCGGGCGCTCTGCGTGCACTTCTCGTTGGGTCTCGGCCGATCTACTGTGGGCCGCAAACTCTCACTGTTGTCACGGGTAGCCGCTTCACCGAAGCGTACCTGCTTCTCAGTAATGCCTTCAATCGCCACAACGTGGGATTCGCCGACACTCAGCGTGGTGGAAACGCCCGAGCCCAACAGGTGGATCGGATGATGAAAGTACGCTTGAGCGCTTGATATTTAAATGCAAAGTGCGTCTATTCAGGTCCCCAATTCGCAATCTCTTAGGCTAGTCAAAGCCTACTGTAGTTTTCGACTACACAATCGTAATCGCTACGTCGCGCATTACTAAACGCCACGTCGCGCATTACTAAACGCTACGTCGCGCATTACTAAACGCCTACGTCGCGCATTACTAATCGTCTAAAAATGCCTTTGGAGTATTGCGTTCTGACCGAGGCGTTTCTTCACCAACACTCACACTCGACTCGGCAGACCTTGGATCCTTGATCCCCAGCATGCCTCGAAGATAGTTGAAATGCGCAGAGGGAATTGGTTTCGTCATGGAATTTGCGAGCATCTCTTCCATCGAGCAGTACTCCAGTAGCACTTGGCCATCATTGACCTTCTCGCGGACGAAGTGGTAGCGGATGTCTATATGATTGGTACGCTTGTGAAGCTCCGTTTAAAAAAAACGTGACCATAACCTGGTTGTCTTCGTACACCTTTAAAGTGTCACTGCCTGCATCTTTGCCGAGTTCTTGCATGTACGTCTTGAGCCACACTGCATATTGAACTGCTTCTGATAATGCCATGTACTCTGCTTCGGTTAACGATAGCGATATTGTGCACTGCTTCTTGCTGCTCCAGCTAATGCACCCACCGTTAAAACTAAAAACGTAACCGCTTGTGCTCCTTCGTGTTTCGATGTCGCCTGCCCAGTCTGCATCCGAATAGCCAACCAGTTCCCCGTTGATGCTGCCCGAAAGAAAAATGTCGTGCATAGGGGTCGCTTGTAAATATTGAAGAACGCGCTTGAGAGCTTGCCAGTGTGTCGAACATGTGTCCAAGGCATATTGACTCAATGAGCCAACTGCCGCAGCGAGGTCTGGACTCGTGCCGACCATCAGGTACATCAATGCACCAATCGCGCTCCGGTATGGTATACCCTTCATTGCTTCGTCATGCTTACAGCCGTCTTCGCACATATTCTTCGTCAGCTTGAGCCCGATATCATGTGGTGTCTTTACAGGCTTGTAGTAATGTGTGCCAAACTTGGTCAAAGTCGATTGAAGAAACTTGGTCTGTCGCATCGACACGTCTCCCGACTCTTCATCGCACTTGACTTCTATACCAAGGCAGTACTTGAGTTCACCGAGATCCGACATTTCGAAGCGCTTACTCAACGCACTCTTAGTCGCCGCGAATGGGTCCACATCGTTGCACACCAGAACAGGATCATCGACGTATCGCACCAGAAACATCATCGCTGAGTTGTCACGCTTGACATAGATTTAATGGTCAATCTTGCAATTGTTGAAGCCAATACTGCGCATGAATTCGTCAATTGTCTGGTCCCACATGCGTGACGACTGCTTGAGCCCATGCAAAGCGCGCTTGAGCTTGCAGACATGGTTACGACACCTGGGATTAGCATATCCGTCGGGTTGCTTCATGTAGATCTCTTCGTCGCGCACACCATTGAGGACCGCTGTATTGACGTCCATCTGGTGCAGATAAGCTTTTACTGCACCGCGATGCTCAAGATGATCCGGATCGACGCGAACTTGGCTACTGGCGCGAATGTCTCCTCAAAGCCCATGCCGTACTTCTGTCGAAACCCTTTCGCCACGAGACGCGCATTGTACCGCTCGATGAGACCTTTGATGGTCCTTTTCACCTTGAACACCCACTTACGGCTGATGACCTTGCGACAATGAGGCAAATGCACGAGTTCCCACGTCTCATTCTTGCTCAAGGATTAAAACTCGGAGTCACACGCCTCTTTTCACTTGCTTACGTCGCTGGATTCCATCGCCGACTCGAACGACATCGGTAAATACCCCACTGATTACACGACGCATGCACATTCTTCGTCTGCGTTTTCTTGTATGGACGTGGAAACCGCCGTCGTTCTTGCAAGCGAAGATCTTGTGACTCGTGCGGATGTCGTACATTCTCTCTGCAAACGAATGACAGATAACAGGGGATCGAAGTATATGGCGATTTTGACACGTTTCTAATTATCCCCCATCGTTTCATCGACGCAGGAAGTGCTCGGATACCTCCATTGTACTCTACTACACAATACACCTTCGAGACGATAGATAGGAGAGTACGCTTCACCTAACGATTACGAAGTAAGAAAGCAAAACTGATAGCAGCAGGTACCGTATGGATTATAGCAACATACGATGTCATACGCGCGAAGAAACAACATATTTGCCTCGAAAATATTTTCATTGTGAATCCAGAGATCGCAACTTTTGTCAAACATATTTGCTTGAATATCGATCCTTCAATTTTGACGCAGTGTTATGTTTGCAACATGAATCTGATGACCAGTTTCACCAATCTAGAGCGTAACAACAAACGGCGTAAGAGCGATTCGGCATGCGTGTGCACGAATCGCTCTTACGCCGTTCGTTGTTACGTAAAATATCACGCACACGATTCGTACAATAAGGAGAGACGCATTCGTCGAAAATGAGACAGTTGAGCTGCGTGGAACAACAACGTTGCATGTAAGGATGAAAGGTCTCCGTACACGCCATTTTTGATCGACACAATGCTTACTTTACCTACGTTGAAGTCACGTGTGTGGGATGTTAGCCACTTTGGCGTGTTGCTCATTTGCTCGCTGCAGGCTCTCTACTTCATGATGAGTAGTTTGCTGACTGACGTCGTGGCTTGTAGCAACCATTCAGCAGCATTTTGCCATTGACTAAGTGAGCGCTTCTTCCAAAAGAGCTTCTCCCCTCAATCCATATTGTTTCAGTGGACAATGTTTACAGGAGATTTGGAGCAAATGTCAATGTAATGAAACGGACGTAATCGCCGACAATGGAAGGAAAGCTAAACTTTAACTTGACCGAAAGTAAGGGTGAGGATATCGTCACGTGCTGAAAATATAGTCACGTGCTGAGAATGTCCAGTCTATTTTTTTGAAATTGTCGATAGCGCTCGTGGTGAGCGAGAACAGTGACGACAAAGGAGCTCAAATATAACAATCCGGCGCGACTTGCGCTTCGGCTGACAGTTGGCTCCGTTTACGAGCTGCGTGTGTTCAATTAACTCAGGCGGTCGGTCATCGAGATGAAACACACGTTATTGTCCAGACTCCTGTTGCGGATCGAACACAAGCAGAAGACGCACGACAGCTCGCGGTGGGGAGTCGGATACGTCTTTCGATCACATTGCTCGAGCAATCGAGAAGAGGTGGCACAAGTGCGTCCACAAGTGTCTGTCAATACGCTGCACGCAATGACAAACAATGCATTCGGTCTGCAACAAGTAGCGGTCGGACGCTTTGCCCCATCTTCAGCGACTCTGTCAGTAGCTCACCAAAACCGCAGGCGACACGTTTCCTACATACATCGCGTGGTGAGCTGAGCCATAGTCCACTCACTGTCCTGTGCGTGTGTATGTGCATATGACCACATACTTTGGTAGTGTAGCGGTCGCGTGCTTTGGACCCAGCCATTCAGTCAGAGTGCAACCTGTCATCGCGTTTTGGGTGCTCTCGGTGCACGAATGGGTCGCTGATATCTGCTGCTCCTCGCTCGTTGCAATGCGCGTACCAATGAAGGAACAACGGCTTGTACGCGTGCATGAGGACCACCTGACGAAGCCGAAGTTGTCTTGTTGGGATTGAAGGCGTTATCTGGCACCAAACGGAAGAATGGGACGGTTCATCACTGTTGAGAATGCCGTCGTCTTCGGTCATGCGCCTTCGTTGCTGCTGGCCGCACAGTCGGTGCGTGTCGAGCACTGCTTATCCAAGTGAAGACGCGACGACAATGTTGGCACGAGTGGCTGCCACTGCTGGTGCTGCTGCAGTGGAAAGACGCAAAAGCGCACTGACGACTCGACAAACGGTCGACGTGTTGTTCACTGCTTGACCGCCAGTTATTGAAGCACCACTTTCCTCGTGCCAGTCGTCGGAGCACCACTCTTCTCGTGCAAAGATAAGACGGGCCCGCGCCATGAACAGGAGCACTCTGTCGTGCGATGTATCATGGCCAGCGACCTTGCAGGTGACCAGCCAAAGACGCGGAATGATGTGATATGTCGGTGTCAACAGCGCTGCGTGAATGGTCTTCACGTGTCCAAGAACGAATAAGAAGCAGGTGCAGCAATTGGCATCGTCACGGACGAGTCTCCGTGCTGTCGACGGCAGAAAATCGATCGCTCTTCGTATCGAGTTTGACCACACGCGGCGACGTTTTTCTCTCCATCAGCCACTGCATCAACATGGCGTTCTTAATGCCCTGGCGGCGCGAACACGGCGCAATTGCCGAGGAGCAGGTGGAGCCTGTTGAACGAGACGGAGGTGGCTCGTGCCCGCTCCTTGGCGGGGACGACATACCGCTTTCGCCGGATGTCCCATCGCATCAAATTCGGGACGTGCGGTGCATTGACAACGGTGCGCTCGGCAGTGCCAAGAAGCGGAGTCTGACACAGCGGATCCGGAGCCGCAAGAATCGCTTCGTTCAGCATGTGCTTGTAACGTGTCGCCTGGTAGATCCATCGAGAGATTTGACCTTCAAGCAGGAGCTCTCGAGCAGCAACGTCGCGATCGAGAAGCTCACAACGATTCGCAATAGCGTCTGTGCGTACTCGGCGAGCCTCGTCGGTAAGTGAGACCAACGATTGCGTGCCACTTGTCGACATGTACCCATGCTGTCGTGCTGCAACACCTGTGCCAGGCTTGTCGACTGCTATTTGCTGCTTCACCGGCAACTCCGCACGTCTTCGAGATGGCTCGCAAGATGCACTCGCGAACGTTGCTGTGGAAGGGAGCAAGATCCTGGAATGCTCGCTTGTCTTCAACGTACGCTGCTGCTTGTGACCATGCAGGACGACGGCATTGACGCGTACTGGTTGCAATGACAGGATCAAGTCGAGAAGTCCGTTCTGGCGAAGATTGACCATCGAATCGCCGAGCTGGAACGCGTCCACTTTCTCATGACGGAGCGAGCAAAGCTCGTGGTCGACGTCGAATACGCTGAGCGGGTGGTAAGTGCACTACCTTGTGTCGAGCTGGTCTGCGCACCCTGCTGATCCATGTTCATGGTCGTGATGGCAGTTGACTCTGGAGCAACAGCGAGGAACTGTCAACCGCATCGCAGAGCGCAAACATGCGGTACGCCTGCACTACATTGACCCCCGCAGGTCCACACGCATCTTCTTACCAGCTCATGTTCTCGTATCCCAACAGCTCCAAGCGGCTCAACTTGAGTGCGATAGGATGACCCAATTCATCGTCGAGCAGCTCAAGTTCGTGCACCCCAATCGAGACACTGACGTGTTCGAGCTCTTCCAAGAGGTGAGCGTACGTTGTGACACGTTCGATGCAGTAGCGTTTGACACTGTTGTGCAACGTGATACGCGGAGCAGTACGCACAGCTGGTCGCGCAGTTTTTCCGCCGTGGCGTCGACTTGGTCAATGGCGCAGCTCCCTCCAAGTGACAAACGTCCGTGGACCGAAATCTGCCTGCCGCCTCCATTCGAGCGGAGAGAGACGACGGTGTTTGGTAGCAGCTCCGTCGATTGCAGCCGGCGGTCTGGACGGACAGAAGACCACGCATCCTGTGACCTGCACGTACCGAGCAAGTTGTCCTGTTGTCCGCACAGCAAGAGAGTTGGTGTTGAACCCCCGTGGTGCTGCACCAGCTCTGGACACGCAGCTTCTGGACGGTGTCTCGATCCAACACGTCAACGGCACTCATGTCAACGCTAGCGAGGTAAACACTTGCGCCAATGCACACATCCACAGCCACGTCTGTGGCCGTCGCAGCAACGTCTCTTATGTTACTGCACGCCAATCCTCTGATCCATCGGAAGTGTGTGTGTGTGTGAGTGAGTGTGAGTCACGCACATGTTGCGTCGAGTGTCTGTGTGTAGCTCGTCGTCCGATGGCAGGAACGAACGTGCCGATCCTCATCTAATCGCAGGCTCTTGTCGTCGACACCTTTTCGTCCAGAGGGAAGCGGCAAATCCAGACACGTGATCCGCGACATAGCACGGCCTTACGTTCCGCCTGCGGCCGTCGCGTTCGCCCCCGTGCGACTAAACAGAGTGCGTCACTGTCCGTTCGTCCTTCCACCCGTCCGGCCGGCCGTCCGTCTGTCAGTGCGTCTCTTGTCCTCTCTCTCTCTCTCTCTCTCTTTCTACCTGTCAGCAGAAGCCGCCTCGAACTCCCCTCCTCCTGTGCTCCTTTCGAGTCCAAACGACGACAGCAAAGCCACTGCTGTCTGCACGTGCGGTCCTCCGCCATGTTCCCCACCGTGGAGCAATCGTACCGCGTCGACATCACCGACGCCATTGAGCGCGACCTGCGCTTCTTGGGCCACTCCCGCGTCGATGCACTGACGTCGCCGTTTGCCATGAAGCTCCTCAAGGACAAGAGCGGCCTCAAGCTCTACGAGCTGTGCGAGAAGGAGTTCTACACGATGAAAGCCGTGACGACCGTGACCGCCCCGATCCAGGACGTCATGCGCATGCTCCGGATGGACTCGACGGCGCAGCTGCGCGCGGCAATGGGCGATATCTTCGGGCCACTCTTCTTGGACGGCGTCGTGCTGTACACGCAGCCCGAGTCGGCCACGCGGCCGCACGAGAGCATGTCGGTGAACTGGACGGCCCTGCAGGCGTCCAAGGCCAACCTCCAGCACCGCGACTACGTCTTCTTGCGGTACAACGACATGTTTGAAAAGGACTTGGAGCACGGCGGCATGTACCAGAGCAACGGCTCGGGGCTCTACATTGGCGCGTCCATTTGGGAGTCCATTGAACTCGACGGCTGTGAGCCGCTGCCTCCGTCGCAGAACGTCGTGCGACTGCGGCTGCGTCGATCGGGGATCGTTGTCGAGGAGACGGGGCGCGACGGCGCGCTGAACGTGTCTCTGTTTCTGTCCGAAGGCCATCCGGGTCGCGACACGGTGTCGTCGCTCACGCGGTCGTGGATGACCAAAGTCGTGAGCTGTGTGTCGCGGATTCCGAACGCACTCTTGACGCGGGCGCTGAGTTCGCAGAGTTTGCTCACGAAGCGCGAGTTCCGCAAGGACGGACCAAACTGCTACTTGTGTCGGAAGGCCTTCAGCGTGTTCCGACGCAAACACCACTGCCGCGTGTGCGGGGACGTCGTGTGCAGGGGGTGCTCGGAGATCACGACGCTGTGTCCGTCGAGTCGGAACAAAGAGGTCCGTCTCTGCAGCCGATGCTACACCACGAGCACGACGTCGGTCTTGTCCTCGAACCGGGGCTCGAACTCCATGCTCCTCGCGCAAAACGACGACAGCGCGCGAAGCTCCCCGAGCTGCTCGAGCTCGAGCTCTCTCGACAGCTGCGAGTTCGAAGCAAGTAATGTCTCCGTCTTGGGGAGCACGACCAACGTGGCCGAGTTTGCAAGCGAGAGCGCTCGCCCGAAGACGTACCCGCTGAAATACCATCGATCGTTGCGCCGCCAGCGCTCTCCTGTGCTTCATCCTGCCAGCAACAGCAATCGCAGTGCATACAGTCCCGTCGAGGACGCGTCCAGCCTGACGTCCGTGTTCTCCGAATCCAGTGAGTTCCACTGGACGGACGAACTCGCTCGACCAAACGTCCAGGAACTTGCTCAGAAGAAGCTCACGGTGCGCGCCAACACGCCGTTCAACTACGCGCTGAACTACAGCGACGCGCAGGAGTGGCCAGAGGCCCCGATCCCCGCGCGCGAGGCGGAGCGACTGCAAAAGGTGCGGGAGCTGCACTTGGCTGATCCGGGCAAGCAGTTCCAGGAGATGTGTGAGTACGCTGCCGCCGAGTTGGGTTGCCAGATCGCGACGATCAGCTTCATTGGCGACAAGAGCGGATTCCTCATGGCCAAGTTTGGCTTCAAGAGACGCGAGATGCCGCGCAATCTCTTGCTCGACGCCCACGCGATCATGTCGACAGAGCCCACGGTGATTCTCGACGCAACTGAAGACCTTCGGTTCGCGAGTAACCCGCTCGTGACGGACGGCCGCGTGCGGTTCTTTGCAGGCTTCCCCATGACCACATCGGACGGACACGTCGTTGGCTCTTTCAGTGTAGCCGATCCGTTTGCACGCGCGCTATTGCCAGGAGACAAGTACCTGTTCCTCCGCAATTTGGCCGACGTCGCGATCCATGGCGTGGAGCAGAACACACTGATGAGTCTCGAAGTGCAGCGAGACGGTGGCAATGTGCACATGCTGAGGCCGACTATCCAAGCGCCGTTGCCTCCAGAAACAGCTGCTGTCGGCGCAGAGGAACTCACCATGCAAGAGCTGTTGCGCTCTGCTTACACGACAAAGTGTCAGGTCCGGATGCACGTGGACCCGCTACCCGAGTGAGGACCCGGTCGCGCGTTTGCCACATATGCGTGTGCCTTGTCTCCTAAGTTATCGACTACGAGCGCGTGTGCCTTCACCTGAGTCCTGCATGGCTGGTCCATCCAACACCCGTCGCCATCTGCTACACCACCAGGAACAACACACAGCCACGTCGGGTAATCGACACCCCCTCACCCCTGCAGGCAAAACATCATCAGCCTGAGCGAGTGAGTCGCGACTCTTCTTCACGTCACAGCCAGCCATCGAGCAAGAAGAACAAGAGGAAGAACAAACATTCAGGCAGACAGACAGACAAAGAAAGAAAAGCTTTGCCCATTCCACCGTCTACACACGGCCCACTCCTCTCTTCTCCCTCCCTCCCTCTCACTCCCTCTCCCTCCCTCCCTCTTTCTCTCCTACCATGCAAGCAACGAGAACGACACACTCACAGCACTGCGTCACCAACTTCCTGACCGCTTTGTCAACTGCTGCCTCCCACTGACTGCCTCCCCTCCTCTCCTCTCTCCCTCTCCCCCTCATTCTGTCCATTGGCTCCGTCTCAAAGCTCATCGTCGTCGTCGTCGTCGTCCACGCCCGCCAGGAACTTCTCGAGCGACTGCTGCGCCGAATCCACAGCCGACACAGGCGTGCGCAGCGCCTGGCCGTGATCGAGCAGTGTCATGAGGTGCACCTTCTGCTTCCACTGCATGAGCGTCTCCTCCAGCTCCATATTGGCCTTCGTAATGAGCATATCCACCACGCGCGGGTCTTTCACGTCCGCGTGCTGCCGGAAGAGCGCCTGGACCGCCAGTCGCGCCTCGGACGGCTCCATGGGAATGTCGTACAGCGTGAGCACACGCGGGACCTGTTTCGTGATGTAGCGGTACAGCGTCACGGCCGGGCTCGACGCGCTCGCTGCCTTCTCCGCCGCCACTCGCAGCGCCATGTGTGTGGGTCTCGGAAATAAGTCGCGATGGCTCGAGAGAATGAATGTAAATGAGTGGCGGTTTGAGCCCCATAAAACAACACAGCTGGGCGCAAAGGGACTATTTCGCGACCATCACTCTGGTCCATAGTGAAAGGGCATATCTCGTGAAACTCGATCCGCTGTGCTATGTGAGTGCGCAGGGTAGGGAGGTGGGTGGCGTGTTGCCGGAATGTCGTGCGAAAGAAAAAACAGAGCGCGCAATGCCACCAAAAAAGAACGTTGCTGTAGCTGGTCGGTCCATTGGCTTATCGAGCTGGATTGACGACACACAGACTGTCGTGCGCACGCTGCACAATGAGTCGAATGACGCGTTGCCCCAACTCAGAAACACACTATCACCGCACATGCAGATAGACACGTTTTTCTCATTGTATTTGCTTGTCCACACTTGCCATCTCTTTGCCAGCCTCGATCTCCGTCCAGGTGGCTACGCTGTCTCCAGGTGGCTACGCTGTCTTTCTCTGCCGTCGCTGAGGTCCGTGGCGCTGTTACGACGGCCACGTTGGCAGCGGTCTGGACACTGGGACGTACGTACACTTGCGACCACGTTCATCATGTCGGTGAGAGCCAGATGGCACCGTCTGCACATTGAATAGGAGAACGCTTGCACGGGGGTACTTTGTCGCGTTCGCCCTCCCTCCCACACATGCGCGCAATGAGGCTGCGCGACGCACTGACTAGCTCTGCGCACCCTCTGCCCAGCAACTCATTGACTTTACACTGGTCTTTCTATTCGCTCCGCAGCGATGGTGAAACAAGCGACTTACGGAACATGGGGCACGTCGTGTGCCGATCCACTGTGCCGGCTCTGGCGCTGCCCGCAAGTGTGAGGATTCGACTCGGCCTCACTATGTTACCAGCTGCAGGTCGCTTCTTGCTCTCGAGTCCATCGACAGCAGGTCGCGTTATCAGCTCTTCTACTGGTCAACGCAGCGCGCGCAGTGCTGTCCCCGTCAGCAAGTGGCTGCACTGAGGCCCTTTGGCGACCGATTGCACCTGCTATTCCATGAGAAATGCAAAGGCAGCACTGCTGTCAACGCACGGCCCCATATCGCAGTGTGCAGTGCGACTTTGGCGCGGGACGTGCGTGGCCCCAGTGTAGCCATTTCAGGTCCCCGCAAGTCCCTTCGTAGCGTCTACGGGTCCACTGGGGCCAGAGACAGGCAATCCATTGCCCGCGGAAATTGCGCATCACCGCATCATCAAAAGTTCGTCACGACGGATCGATCCCGTGCGTGACGTGCCGCGTCGACCGCCGCTCTGACTCATGCGGCAGCCCCTCGTGCAGCACGCGCCAAACGGGTCAAGACGCGACGCGGCCGCAGCGTTGTGCACCTGTCAAGTGAATCGACGACTGACGCGCCCTTTCTCGTAGCAGCAACAGAGCGATGAAAAAGCGCTCAGTCCTACGGGTCGTTCGTTAGCAGCTGGCGCGACTTGTCGCCGTCACGTCGATCGCCCACGGGACGCGGTCGGGTCGCGACCTGTGAAACTCCATCTCCTCCACGCCGCAATCACGCGCTGGTTCGCGCGCCTCGTGCCGACCGTTTGTATCGCAGCGAACAGCGACAACACGTCCCACGTACCTCGCAGCAGCGCATTCCCTCGCACAGTTGATACCGTCGCGCACTTGCCACTTTATGCGTTCTCGCAGTACCCACGCCCTACCCGGCTGCAATCGGACAGTCCTGCACTTTCGTCCGGCCCGCAGCGCGCGCGCTCTCTCGCTCACTCGCTCTGTCTGTCTGTCTGTCTACCTGTCTGTCTGTCTACTTATCTGTCTGTCTGTCTGTCCACCGACCACCGCCTCGGTCGATCTTCCCGTCCGTTCGTCCGTTACCCGCTCGCTCGCTCGCTCGCTATGTTTCGCAGGAACAACAGCTCTGTCGGCAGCAAGAGCATCAGCGCGTCGGCCTCGACCGCGTCGGACTCGCGCGTCTATGCCGACCAAGTCTCGCGGCAGTACGAAGTGCCGCGCGCCATGACGAACGCGCGCGTGAAGGAGCTCGCGGCCCTGGGCGAGCGCCGCGTGAATCAGCTCATCCGGTGGGTCACGGACGACGACCAGGGCGTCGAGGGGTCGGCCGCCGCGGGCGCTGTCTTGCGGCAGCAGAAGGAGAACTTTACCGTCTACGAGATGCACGACGTCCGCGACGAGCTGCTCGTCATGAAGGGCGTCGTGCGGCTCCAGAACACCACGTGCGACGAGGTCCTGGCGCTGCTCTCGGGCCGCACGGCCGCCGAAGTGGACGCGTTCTTGCAGGACTTGCTGGGCGCCCAGTACGCCGCTGGACAGGCGCTTCACTACACGGAAGTCAGTCTGGACGCCGGCAACGCGCCCGAGCCGACGCCCGAGCTCCAGACGCCCACGACGGCGCTGCAGAGTCCACGCGGGACGCGGCCGTCGACGTCGTCGCTCATGGTCCAGTGGCTCGCGCTCAACGACGTGCACCCGCAAGCGCCGCTGCGCGAGTTCTTCTTCATGCGGTTCAACCAGACGTTCTGCAACGGCAATGGCGGGACGAACGCGCTGGGCGGCGGCGCGTCGTACGGCGTCTCGGTGATGGAGTCGCTCGAGCTGCCGCGATGCGGTCCGATCTTTTCCCAGACGCACATGCAGCGCCATCCGCTGCGCAAGTGCGGTTTTGTCGTCGAGGCGTCGGAAGACAAGAGCTCGACGACAACGCGCGTGTCGTTCTTCGTGACGGCACCGTATCGTACGCCGTCGCTGGAGCAGGACCGTGCATGGCTACTGCGACTCGCTGGATGCGTGCGGCTCGTGCCCAGTGCACTGGTGAACCGTCGGATCCGGCGCAATCAGCTGCGGGACCGTCGGAGCTGGCACTTTCGCGACACGTGCTCGGTCTGTGCCGGGAGCTTCTCCACGTTCACACGCCGCGCGCATCACTGCCGCATTTGCGGCTCGGCGGTCTGTTCGAAGTGCTCAGCAATACGGAAAGATGTCCAGCGGCCCAAGTTTTCAGGTAGTACGCGGGTATGTATGGCGTGCCTGAATGGCGACCAGAACGGACCGAACGGAGCGTCGAGCGCCAGCTACGACACTCGCAGTGGCGTCAGCCGATCAAGTGCTAGTGACGGCGCGTCGAGTCGTGGGAGCGAAATCGAGTGCTTTGGCAGCTCGGCGCACGTGACATTGGAGGAAGCGCTGGCTGGGTTCTCATTGGAGCCCACTCTCGCGACCAGCATGGCCACAAGTCCGAGCAGCACATCCAGCAGCGGTGTGAGCCAACGTGGGGAGGATGACGGCGACGTGTTTGCGAACTCGCCGTATGACTACGAGTTGACGTTTGCAAAGGGCAATTCATGGCCCGACGCTCCATTGACGTCAACGGAGAAGGAGCGCGTCCAGATCATTCAGCGGCTGAACCTGTCGCAGGAGTTTGCCAACACTGTTCTCCGTGAGCTCGTCGACTTGGCGTGCACGACCATCAACTGTCCAGTGGCAGCTCTTTCTGTGTTGACGAAAGCAACGAGCTTGTTCGTGACCACGATCGGGCTGGTGGGCGACCAGATACCGCGTGACATCAGCTTTGATGCCCATACGATCATGTCGTACGAGCCTCTGGTGGTTCTGGATTGCCGGAAGGACATTCGCTTTGCAAAGAACCCAGTGGCGCTATCGGTGCGCGTGCAGTTCTTTGTGGGAATCCCGATGATTGCAAAGGATTCGGGGGTAATTTTAGGCGCTTTGTGCGTGGCGGACACGAAAGCTCGCAAGAAAGTCAAGGGCTCGGACCTGCGTGCACTGCAGCTCATTGCGTCGCGCATAATGGACAAGATGGATGCACAAAACAACGAAGTGACCGAGAAGATGGCGGACGGTGTGAAGCTCTTGTAGCGCTTGCAGACGATGCATTTGCACCCACCTTGTTTACATAGAAGTGCGGCTAAATATCGCATGTCTTGTTGTTCGAGCTCTCGTGCCGATGGGGTCTGTCTCATTGTCCAAAGGTGGCGCGGTAGTGAGTATCGGCAGTATCGCATCTATGCGTACAGGTTCCTGCCACCGCACCTCCAGGGACAGCAATGGTCTCCGCTCAGATAGCGCGTCAGTAGCGCCGCCTGGCTTTCTTCCTCTTGCTTTTGGGGCCAGGTGCGCGTCGCCGGAGCTGTCGCTTCCTTCCCGTACTGCCATAGTCAGACTCGTCACTGGAATCCTCCTCATCGTCGTCGTCGTCGTCGTCGTCATCATCGTCGTCTTCATCGATCTCGTCGTCATTGTCATCATCGTCCTCTTCGCTTTCTGATACGCCGCTATGCCAGCTATCTTCTTCGTCTTCTGAACTTGGACGGGATGGTTTCCGACGGACACGCTGTTTACCAGCTACAGCAGACGACGACTTGTTGCCCGCTTGCAAAGCGTGGTCCATAGAACGTCTGCCCGTCCTCGTAGCAGGTACCGAGTGCCCTTGGAGATTCACGCCCGCAGCGTCCAGCAGAAACTTGATGCAGTACTTTTGCATGTCCTCCACGAGACCGCCAATAAACCCGTCCCAGCCATTGTACTTGATCGCGTTGGAAAATACCAGTTCTACGTGGGCCTGGAGAGCAAATCCGCATGTCAGTGAGTACGCGTAGAATAAGTAGACATCACGTGCAGACAGACACACGTAGCACTTACGAAGTAGTCGCGAAAGCTTCTGTACTTATGCACTTTGTGCTGAATCGTTCCGAAGTCCATTGGACGCGTAATTATCTCGGAGTAATGCGGGGCCACGTCGTCGGTCACCGGCGATGCAAATACATCTGTCTTGTCAGCTTCAGTGAGCGCTTCGTGGAACACTTGCAGCACGGCTCGCAGATCCTCGTCACATGCCCGTTTTATAGCTTCCCGCTGTGAGCTGGAGTAATGGTCCATGAGGGCGGAGTGGGTCAAAAGCACCTTGACCGGGGTCTTGCGTTGTCGCTTTCGTGCGTTTCCCCCTCCACCAAGAGTGCCGCTCAATGAAGTTGTGGCCGCGCGAGTTGGACGGCGAACTCGAGGTGACAGGAGTTGCGGTTCGACCACCTCGCGATTTCGAAGTGGTCTCGGGCTATTGAAACCTGCAGCAGCACCATCTGCTGCAGTCGGCGTCTCAGCTTGAGCTTCGTCGGACACGTCGTCGGTCATCGTCTCGCCGTTTTGCTGCGTCACGTCATCCGATATTGCCCCGACGTCGTCACTTTCTTTAGTCTCCTCGAAACTGCGTGTGCGACGAAGAGGTCTTGTTTCCAGCGAAACGTCTCGAGCAGTATGGTCAGCCACAGCAGCAGCAGCAGAACCTTCGACCTGATTCCTCTCGGTGGACGTTGACCTGCTAGAACGAGATGCGTGGAGAGTCACAACAGGGGCTGACGAATTGGCCTCGGGTGCCGGAGTCAACAAGCCGATCTCCAATAGCCCCAAACGGGTTTCCTCCGACTCTTCAGTAAAATTTGTCACAAAATCGTCCGGTGGATACACATACGTCGCAGTGATCGCCTCTCCGGCAGCCTCTAGACGGTTGACATTGCTTGCGCCGCGCGACAGGTGTGGGAAATGACGTTGCGCTTGCGTCAACACAGCAAAGAACAGGTTGCGCGAGTTCTGAGAGATCGGGCTCGACGGAATGTTGTACGTCTCACAGTTGATGCTCACCAGCTTCACATCGGCCAAGTACGCCTCCACTTGACGGTAATAACCTTGCCGCAGTCGTTGCTGGATCTTGGTCAGATCAATGGGATTGGCAACAGATATCGTATAGTCCATAAATGTATCTTCATCGACGGGGTACATGAAGTCACGCGAAATGGATAGCGCCAACACTTGGTCCATCTCCTGCAAGAGCGCCTCACACTTGTCAGCAATGATGTTTCTCGAAAAGAAAAGCCGCGTCGAACGCCTGCGAAGTGAGAGCTCGCGCTTCTCACGCCGCTCTGAGGGTAACGCCGACTCAAGCTCCCACGGGCAGACCGCACACGTGTCATCGTCCGGGTCGTCCCACTTAACCATGACACAGTCCCATGGTGAAATCTCTCCCAAGTTACTCGACAAGAAAGGCTTTCGAAGGATACCTTCGATAGTCCCGTATGACATCTTTGCTTCAATCTCAAGACCGTGTTCATCTAGCTGTACAAATGGCATCTGCACTCGATCACCAATGTGCCACCCGCCACATACTCCACCCTCGTAAACATGGTCCAGCACAAGGAAGTTTGCCACGTCGTTTGAGTGATACAGCATCTTGAGGGTGAAGCGTGTCGATGGCTCGTTTGCAGTAGGAATCAACTGTTCATCCACACTCGTAAACTCTGCAAACGGAGACGACTCCGGATTGAACAAATTCGTTGTGTCGGAAGCTTCGTCTTCCGTAGTCGCTTCTTCCTGCTCCTGTTCTTCGTGATGTCCAGCACGCCTTACAGCTGATGTTGGCACAGCAAGCACTGCGAGCGAGAGCTCACATTTGATAGTGTTGCACGTCGCGTGCTCTTCGGTAGTTGGAAAAACATACTTTACATCAATGACACGACACTTAATGGCATAGAACTTGGATAACTGCGCATAATATCTCGGGCGTGGCATTCCTCCGTAACGCAAATATCCAGGATGTCCTTCCGGCAGGTACACCACATAGTCACCAACTTGTGGTACGTACTGATGAATTGATCGAAGACTGGTCAGCTGCAACCACTCGCGATGAAATCTCAGACCAAAGCGTTTCGAAGCAGGCTCAATGACGGCACCGCCGTCTTCTGTAACAAGCTGATTATTTCCCTCTTGTTCTGTGCGCCTCGGACGATGGGCTGGGCAAAAGAACTGCATTTGGTCCACCGACCAACCGAAGCCAATTGCACACTTCCAATGATAAGAGTTACGACATGTGGCGGTCGTGCAACCAATCGTGGCACCACGCTTGTTGCATGCAACACAAACCAACGAGCGTCCACGGCGAATTTCCCTCGCCACGTTATACCAGTTGCCGTTTCGGTTGAAACAAAGAGGAGAAGCGATAGCGCACTGATCGTGCACGAACATCCTTTGAGCACCGTAGACCAACGGGTGCACACCCATGCCGTCTCCAGGGAGCTTGAGCATGGCGTCGTCATCCCCAACACCACAAAATGCACATGGTATCAGTGCATCATTCCCATGTTCTGACGGTATCGGCAGTACGCCGAGTTGCGCCCTTTTCGCTTCGAGCATTTGACTGTACGTGATGCTCAAATCGAATCGATCCAGCTGATTGTCACCCAAAACCATGCCATCAGTCGACTCAACGACAACTTCGTCCTGGTTCTCACGATCGCTTCGGTCTCTCCCAGAACCAAGAGCGCTCACGCGGCGATCCACAGACATCTGGTCATCTTCTTCTGCATCGCTATCAATAACCAATCTAGAGCGAGATCTCAACGCATTTCTTCGGGCACGCAACTGTCGAGGAGTGTCATCCTGATGTTCCTCCTCATTATTTGACTGCAACCTCCGGCCACTTCGAACCGGAAACCTTGCACGTGGGGATTCGTGCTGTCGGGCGCTGCGAAGCCGCCTCCTTCTCGAGTTCACCGGAGACATGACTGCTCTTTCATTTTCGCTGAGTGAATCGTCGTCGTCCATGTCGGACTCATCCTCATCTTCGTCATCGTCGTCGTCTTCCCCTTCCGCAGCAGCATGTCGAGGTGTCGGTACCTGAAAATCTTCGTCACTTCGATCATCCTCACTAGATATCTCGATCTCTAGCACTGATGTATCACGCTCCTCAGTAGAGGCCTCACGTCGACGCCGTGGGTCTGCATTCCTTCGAGACTCACGACGCCGTAGCTCTGACAACATTACTGGCGCACCGCTCAGTCGATAGGAGGATCTACCAAGTGCCATCACGTCAGCCGCAGACATTTCTTGTCCCTGGACACGATCACTTTCTCCGCTTTCAACAACAGCCGACGGAAACGAGTGAACATCCTCCTCTATCTCAAATCGATGGTGCACTCCGCATAGAATTTCCGATTCTTTGCTCTGCTGAATGCGCAATCTTCGGTTCTCTTCGCGTTGCTCTGGAGAAGCCAGCTTATAGGGAAGCAGATGGGGCGGCTGGTGTGGATACTGAACCAGCGAGGCATCCATCAGTGGACCGGAATCCATCAAGCTCGGCAGCTCGCGAGTATCCCTGTCTCTCACATTATAATGTCGATCAGTAACAAGCATCACGTAGTCATGTAGGAAATACTGCTGCACTGGCGTTGCCGCGTACTGCTCTCCGCTTCCGGTACCAAATATAAGTAGTCGCCCGATCTGGTCCGTGAAGCAAAAACCATTGCCGTCCGGTGTGAAACCGCCATCTAGATTGGAGAGTGGTTTTGAGTCCAGCGACATGTTTGTAAACGACTTCAGCATTCGACCCGTGGAAATGTCCCACAAAAACACACGCCCGTCGTACCCTGCCGTAACTAAAATGCGCCAATCGGTTGGATGCGCACTTAGAGCAAACGCGGCATTCACATGTCCGTTCTTCTTCTTTTCGTCCACGGCACCCAACGTCATCAACAACTTGCCACTTTCCGGCTCCCAAACACGTATTCTTTGCTCCCAAGTCGGGTCTGCTGACTCCGAGTTAAGTTTTACACTATGCAGTGTAACGAGCCGTTTATCGTTGTGTGTCCATGCAACCATGTCAACAACCGGAGTCGCCTTTCTGCGGCCACGTACCCCGGAGACAGCTGAGATGTCACCGTGCTCAGCTGGTGACTCGTGTGCGAGAAGGACGGCTCCATGCACACTTTTGTACTTCCATTTCCATCTCCAAATCCACGCTGCGCTATCTTTGATCGACGCAGTTACAATGCGATCGCCCCGATGATTATACACAATGCTCGAAACTGGGCCCTTAAGCCCCTGTAACAACGCGATTGGCTCGATGCTTGGAACGGCGTCGTCAGAAAGCGACAAAGAAGGCAGGTCACTCTGCACCTGTGCCGGCTGTGGTTGCCGAGGCGCTGTCTCACGCTGCAAAGAATCGATATCGCTTGTGAGTGGCATCGCCACACCAGCTTGGAGCTGCACCGGTACCCGAGGCTGCGCTAGAGGTTGGGACTGAAGTCGGGGCTGTTCAAGATCCATGAGCGTTCTTGGAGATATCATAGCGCGAAATGGATCGGCTGGAGCTTCAGGTGCTGTGGTGCCGTTTTCCTGGCCTACCGCCTGCTGCATCAATGGAGCCAGCAAGCTCGAAGGTTCGGTGACAAAAGCTTCAGTGCCAGATGCTCCGGCGGTTGTTAAAAGCCCTTGATCACTTTCCAGTTCGTTTTCACTGCGCTGCTGCTCCTGCACTCGTGTTTCCTGCGGTTCATCTGTGGGCTGAAATCGCGGCACTACGGCAGGTGCATCGGGTGCCGAAACCACCGACAAGTCCCACACACGCGCAATTCCATCGTGGCCACCCGAGACTACATAATCTCCACACCGGCTAAAGGTGACGCAGTGCACTTTGCACGAACGGACGCCTTCTCGGCGAGCATGCTTCATCGCGTAGATGGGATGCAAACTCAGCATGTACGCATTGAGCGAATACAACCGCCGTGCGGTCTCAATCCTCGTTTCTGGCTGGCACATCAATGGGACCTCTGGCACCTTGTAGCAAAAGCACCGCCCGTCGTCTGAGGCCGTGACGATGATGTTTCTGCTCGGATGGAACCGAACTGCGTTTACGACACTGGAATGTCCTACCAAGACTGCAACGGGAGCGCCTGTACCGATTTCCCATACCCGCACAGTCTTGTCGTCGGAAGACGACGCCAGCAGCGTATCCGAGTGATTTACTGCCAGATCTGTAATATTGCCGACATGACCTCGAAGCGTACACAGTAAATCTCCTGTGTTCAACGACCAGATTTTCACAAGTCTTACACGAGCACACCACAAAAACGTACGTTAGCCACTGTGTCGTCGCTAGACAGCTGTCATGAGATAAGCAAGTAGTACCTATCGTCTGATCCAGTGATTACGACCTTGCCCGATTTGTCATACGCAAGACAGTAGGCCTGGATCTGTAAATGTCCACTCAACGTCTTTAGTCTCCGTATCCGACTATACAGATGCGCTGGTGGAAGCTGTGTATCTTGTTGCGGGCTAATCTCTCGCCGTCTGACGAGCGACGCTTGATTGCCGCCAGTCCGTGCCGTCGTCTCAAGCAAGCCAGAATGCTTTGCGCGGCTCATCAGCATGTCAATCTGTTTTTCCACTGCTGCGTGCTCCTGTCGAAGCTGGAAAAGCTGCTTGAACGCACGCACGTCAGCTGCCACCGTCGTCGCTTGGTCCGTCGCAGCCGTCTCAGCGGCATCTCCACTCAACAACATCAACTGCACGTTCGTCGGTAGCTCGTCCACGCGCGTCGCAGTTGACGTGTACTTTCGGTACCGCTCGTCTTTCTGAATCAACTTTTCCACAACCGTCAGCGTTTTCCTCACTCGTCTTCGTACAAACAGCTGGTGCACGATACTCTTAACCAGTTCCGTCCTCTCGTCCAGCGACAACGTCAGCAGCCTCTTTCGTCTCGTCTGTATCAGCAAACTCGGACTCGACTTCATCCCACACATGCCATTTTCTTGTTCTGTCGTTTCTTTCTGCTTGTCACGTCTCGTCCACGACGTCGCAGCTGCTGCAGTGCCCTGCAAGAGCTCCACTAAATGTCCAGCCGAGAGATCCCGATGGCGCAATCGGTAGTCATCGTACGTGGCGGTCCGGATCTTGCCACTCCAGTCCACGCTGTGCTCGAGCAGCTTGTGCTCTGCCAGCTCTTGGATCAACGCGTCTGCCGCCTTGTGGCACACTGACCGACGCTTGAGAAAGTCGGCAATGAGGAAAAAAACTTCGCTCTCGGATATGTCCTGCGTCGCGGTCGTGAACCTGCTCTCGGGCGCGTTCGCTGACGGTTCCACCTGCGTCAGACCAGCGGTACCAGCACTCGCGACTCTGGCGTGGCGAGCGCTGAGGCTGCGGTCGTCTCCTGTTGCTACCGCTACTGGCGCTCGTTCTTCTGCTGATCGGTCGGCCTGGTTCCTGTGCTCGTCGCTGTACTGGGGACTCGCTGGGTCGTGGGCCATACTGGACGAGGGAGCGCTCGCCGAGTCGCCACACACGTCCGCGTCTTCTTGACGGATGAACGTCGAGGTGGTGCGAATGTGGAGGAGGGTACGCAACGCGGACTGCAGCTAAGTATCCTCTCGACAGTGTACCCATGTGGTTCCCCGCTACTTTTCGGTTATGTCTGCTCTCGAGTGATTATACTTTTCTAAACGCCGACCGAGTGTGCTGGGTTTTGCTTAGAAACGGTCTTCTATTGAAGTGCACGCTTGCGCATGTCCTTCGTTTTGACGCATGCTGCGAGTTCAGGTAACTCGAGACGACGACGGGCAGGAGGCGGACGACTGTGCAGCCGGAAGCGCGTTGCCGTCGCCGACGAAGGAGCACGAGAACGAGACGGAGCATGACCAGCTGACACTGCAGCAAACGGACGAAGGGTTTCTCTGGCTATTGCTGCTCGCGGCGGTGTCCGAGTGCGTAACCACGTGTTACATGCCGGGGTACACTCTGCACGGGCTGCAGCTAAACGCTGGTGGCACGCTGTTGAATTGGATTGGACCCTTCTTGGACGGGTTATCGTATGGTTACGAAGACAGGATGAAAGGTGCAGAGGTGTCGCTCGTCTGTACGCAGTTCCGCTCTGCGTTCTTGGGGTACGAAAGTGGCAAAACGTGTGGTCCGCTACTCGATACGATGCTCGATCTCTGACAGGTGCACGACGCGGTGTTGCTGCTGTGTGTCGTCTTTCGTAGCGTCTTCACGTCGTACTCGTTCATGGTGGACCATGCAGGGGATTTGAGCAGTGGGAACTTTGCAGTCGGGCCGCTGTACATCTGTGCGTCGATAGGTGGAGGCTGTGGGTTTTTCTACTTCGGGAAACAGGCGGCTGCAACTGCATGGCCACACTCTATGCCTGCTCCGGTGACTCGAGTATCTGGTGCGATGCTGAACAAGTCGTCGTTGATAACGTGCTTAGTCACCTTAGTCGGAGTGACGACATTGCGAGCCGCGCTGGGGCCACATGGATTTGTTCGGTACGTGATAGCACTTGTGTTTGACAAGCAACAGGTGAATTTGGTCAGCGAAATGTTTGTATTGTGGCAGTGATCCGAACGACCCGCAGTTTATTGGATCACGGCATGTAGCGGACGTCGAAGAGTTGGTGCTTGGGATCTTGATGTCATGCAGTGCGGTTTTGCTGTCAAATTACGTCTGCGAGTTGTTCCCGCAACAACCCGTGCAGCTGCGCACTGCAGCATCGCGAACCGGTGGACCGTTCATCGATTGGGGCTGTCTCTGCTGCAACTGTGTAGCGTCGTTTCTGGCAGGGTTCACGTACCAGGTTAGTCGAAATTCGCCGACAGACGTGACGAACAACCTCCTTGCGCTCAAGTTCGTAAGCTCCTTTTGTGGATCGCTGTCGGTCTTTTCATCGACAGTGAGCATCATTTCGGTACGTCTCAGTCGGGCGGTTGATCGGGGATCCTTTTGCACGTCTCGAAGTGCATCTGACGGTGGATTGTTGAACCTTTGTAGCGATTGTGGCTAGCTGGAAATCGACATTCTGCGCTTTGGAACCTCTCGTTGCAGGTGCTGCTAGGATTGATATGCATTCCGTACCTTTACAAGCGCGACGCTTCGTAGGTGTGTGTAGCGCGACGTATGAATGTCATGATAACATGTATGCATGTATGTATGCTGAGTCACGTCGTGGTCGCCCTTATGACGACTCTTTGTACTCGACCCCTTCCGCACAACTGCTTTATATACCACCAGCTAGTGCACCACGCGGTGGATAAGCACGTGACGCTATCCCCCAATCAGAACAGGCAATCGTTACGGACGTGTGATGGGAAGCGTCCTCACTGCACAAACCCAAAACGGTAGCTTGGACAGTAGCTGCCTCCCTTCATGCTGCTGGTGGTCTCGTTGTTAGCGTATGCTTCGACTTGTTGCCTCTTATCGATGCCCAGAGTTTGTATTCCCAACCTACAAAAGCGTCCCTAGACAGTGGTTAGACTACGACACGCACGATCAACCGATTGAACAGCTCCGTTCTCTCTGCAGATGATCCTGACGCAATATCTTCATTCTCAAGCAGTCATGACTCCCCAACGTACCATGCAACGAACGTCATCTAGTCCAGGTATTGTGCTAGCTTCATACCAATGACTTTCCTAGCAGCTGATTGACGATATCGGGAAAGTCGCAGATATGGTCCAAAACTCAATCCCGAAACTGCTGGATCCAGATAAACCTTGTGATGGAAACAGATTCGACGGCGCTCGAAACGTCGCTGTCTTGCTTCTACACGATTTCAAAGACAGAAACATCCATTTGCTTTGACTATAGATACCTGACAATGCACACGGCAAGAATTGGCAGACTGTGGCGTATCGAGTTAGCTGCGGCAGCATTGTCTTCGTATGTAAGGAAAAGACAGGCGGCGTCCCGGTATGTAGCACGCATGTGTTAATCTTTTCTGGAAAGTCACTTTGTGCACTGACATACAAAGCAGGTGCCAAGCCGATAGAGTGGTTCTTTTTTCTGCTATCGCGAAAGCGTCGATAAAGGCAATTGCTGGATGTGACAACTGACAACGATCATGCGTCCATCGTGGGGCAAGTGGATCAAGCGTTCGCGACTAGTGTCCGATTTCCATTCCCGGTGATGAGCTGCGACCTGTCAGCAAGCCGCGAAAGCCTCGTTGTCGAAGTGGCACGGCTTCTGATTTTGCACCGTATTGGCGATGGGCTGCATATTCCATGTTGGTTACTCGCCAGGAGGACCAATGAATGTTGCAGCTCTGTGTCTTTATCACGATGGTTCATCGTTTGCACCATGCCGCTCACCGGCACGATATGTGCTCAGCGCATAGTCGACACAAGCTTCGTGCATGCTTGGTGTAAGCCGAGTCCTCGTGACTCTGAACCGTCGATGAGTATAAAGTCAAACTTTATGCACAACGCCTCGATGATCAGCGCAATTGTCACCACGATAGTTGCCTTCGATGTCTCCGATTTGTAAGTGCGCACTATGACCTCTTGCCACCGTATGTACGGAAACGCGACATAGCTCAAGTTCTGCTAGTGGGCACTACGGGTGTAACGGGGCACACCCTTGCGTGAACTTAACGCAAGGGTATCGGTGCCCCGACAGACGTACACAAGGCAAGCGAGGAAGCGTAGGTAGGGTAAAAGCAGAACTGTTATATTAATATAATTAAGTCTTTTAACTACTGTCTCTTTGTTTGACTTAACTTAATTATGCTAATATAACTGAATGTATGGTGACGTCTCGTCACCACTCATTGCGCGCGTCTTGCGGCGATTGGCGGGTTGATATCATCAAGATATCAACCAATGAACAGACTCTTTGGTCACCCTTCAATATCACCGCTTCGGTGATATTGTTCAAAGAATATTCAGCTTCATATTCTTTATTGTCACTTTTCTTAAAGTGACAATTCCATGTAACGGGCTGCCCCGTTACATCACCCCCCCTTAACTGATAGTCACCGTGTGACTATCGAAAATAATGGCGGCCACCCGTTGGTCACCATTGGGACAGGGAGCACTTGTTGGGTCAGTTCCGTTCGTAACTCGACCTGACCTCGCATAGTTAACATGTCTATGCGGGGTGACTCAAGGCACACAGAGTCTGTGCCTGTGCCAGCTTCTGCGGCAGACGATTCGTCGTCTGCTGCTCGTTCTTCGCCTGCAGCAAGAGGTGCTGCAGGTGCACGCGGTACAGCACTGCGTGCGCATGATGACCCTGACGTTGAGGTCATCTACTCTGGCGAGTCAGACGTGTCTGACTCGGGCAATGCTCCAGAGGCGTCTCGCTCACCGGCGACGCCTCAGTATTCGCCAAGGCCACTGCCGAACGAACGGACTCGTGAGTTGCAACACAGTCTTTTCGGCAGTGATGATGAATCTGATGATGAGTATGATTGCTCATCACCGCGATCAGCTCGTGCTCCTTCGCACGAGCGACTTGACGATGGTGCAACCCATCGTCATAATGACAACCGTGGTACCAACGAAGGTACCACCGTGAAGCGTGATGAGCTGAAGCCGTGGCGTTTGCCCGAACGGCTCATCAATGGCTTGTCTCACGAGACAAGCCAACACCATCGAATACCCTTATTCGATGCGACTGAGGTTTACGGCTTGAGTCCCAGCGCGAGCAACTTTCGCGCTGAGGAAGACTTTTATCTCGATGTCTTCCTTAGACATCGATGGTACAACAGCAACCAAAAGCGTGACAAAGCCTCGCTTTTGGCTGCGTGGAACGCGTTCGTCCAAAACGTAAAGAATTTTGGACGAGAAGGGTGGCTCAAGAAACTTGAGGTGACACGCCTCAGGTTCGAAAAGCGAACGCCAACCGGTGCCAGATACCGGTTGCACTGTTTGTCGAGTGAGGCAGGCATTCCTTGCCTCACATGGGGAGACCCTTGTGCGAGTTGTGTTGAAAACTCGCAGCGTGCACATAGGGACGTGTATTCCCTAAGTTCGCCCTGGGGAAGGGCACATCTCTCGGAGGAGATGCGTGACGCGATTGCAAACTTGCAATCCGCCTACAAGCGCCTAGGGCGCGTGTTTACCGATGGGCCCGAGGGCTCATCGGATGGGTCTCGTCATACTGGCGGACGAGACCTTCAACATCCATCAACAGCTAAGAGCGGGGCTCCCAGCTGTTCCAAGAGGGTGGATACCCCCGCCACTGGACGAGGTAGCTCGTCCTTGATCCTGAATCGTCACGGTGATTCAAGATACGCTCCACTAGAAAGCGTTGATCACCGTGAGCATCCACCAAAGGATGTGGTGGAGGAGGAAAGACCTCCTCCAGATGATTCGGCTCACCATCTCGACCCTTACGAGATGGATCGCGCAATCGATGAATTGCGCGATGACTTGAAGCACGAGCGCGACCGGCGCTACGCTTTGACTGATACCGTGCGGAAGAACCGCAAGGATCGCGAGGCTGATCGGGCGAGAGTACGCGCCGATTACGCCACGGCGCAGCTTCAGGTCGAGCGGGATGCCCGCTCCTTTCCGGCGAGCTGGCGACAGCTCGCGGGGAGATATCTCGGTTGAGTTCCGAGGTATCATATCTGCGCGACCAGACGGATCGTCTGGAGCGCGAACGCAAGAACTTGATGGATGTTCTTGAACGTGGGGGCTATCTTCACCGGAAGAAGAAGGCTCGTACTGACAGTACGGCCTGAGCCTCCCCACGTAAAACGTAGGATGCGTGCGCACCTCACGTGGCAATTCGAGTGTGTATGTATGCATTGCCCTTGCGATGCAACACTCGAAATGGCCCAATGTACTTCGGCAGTAGTTTACTACTGCCGACACTAGTGACTGCGTGTCCAGGTAGGTTTACCGTAGACAGTAGTACTAGGTCGTTAACCTTAAACGAAAGAACATTTTCTCTTCCATTCTTGTCTGCGTTCCGTTTCTGAAGGTCCACCGCATTTGCGATGGAGTCCTGAACGAAACGGACTACCGCTTCTCGAGTCAGCAGGAAGTTCTCTGCTGACTCTTTGTTTTGTCTTCCAGTGCGCTTCGTGCGCACTGCTAAGAGATTGTTTTCTTCTTCAGCGAGGTTGTCTTCTTCCTCGCTGGCATAATCGTTGACGATGCTGAATATACCAGAATCGTCATCATCATCCGAGTCAGTAATAGCGGCGACGCTATTACTGAGGTGATCTTTTCATCGATGTCGACTTGATCGACATCGGCATCATACGTGACGACGTTAGCGTCGACACGTGATGAGCAAGAGCCAAAACGGTTTTTGCTCGAGCGAGTCCCTCCCCCCTTATCCAAGAGTCACACTCTAGAAGGGCGGGCACACGTGGATGGCGTAAATCATTCACGTAAAACGGTGTGTGCTGTGTGGAAGCATGCACCGAATTATTGATGGCGAATTCCACCATGGGTAGGAATTCGCTCCAACTCGAAAACGAGTGGACATATCCTCGAAGGATCTCTTCGAGGACACGGTTCGCACGTTCCGTCTGACCATCTGTTTCGGGATGGTCAGAAGTAGACATCTTTGATCGTGTTCCCAATGTGCGGAACATGGTTTGCCAAAATGCCGCCGTGAACCGAGGGTCACGGTCGGATACGAGTTCACGGGGTAACCCGTGGAGTCTAAAGACCGTGTCTAGAAAGCCACGAGCACAACCTTGAGCCTTGATCGACTCAGGGACTGCAGCAAGATGCACCATCTTGCTTAATCGGTCAACAACCACAAGAATACCATCATTCTTGTGAGCGTCTTCGGGAAAACCGAAGACGAAGTCCATTGAAACGGACTACCAGCACTCTGTCGGAACAGGCAGAGGCTGCAATGGCGCACGGGATGAAAGACTAGGCTTCACCCGTTGACAAACCTCGCAAGCACGTATGTACTTGCGGACAAACTGATACTGGCGTGGCCAGTAAAAGTCACGACTTACCGTGAGGTAAGTCTTTTCTCTACCACGATGCCCGCCTGTTGGGGCATCGTGACACTCATACATGATGCGTAAACGCAAATCATGATGAGCGGGTACGACGACACGAGGCGTGTCGTCGGCAACAGCTGTATAATACAGCAACCCGTTGCGTGTACTGTACCGATCCGATGAG